TGTATCCCCCCCCCCCCCCCCTAAAACCTGAAGAAAACATGAAAATGTGGGGGTATCAACTCACCTTGAGTGATTTTCTTAGATGAATGCTGAAGAAAAGAGGTTTCCAAGTCAACAACACTTGGGAGGTGCTTGAAGATTTGAAGATCCTAGGCTCTAATATGACGATATTTGTGTAAGAGATTCATGATTTGAGTGAAGGAGTGTAGAGTATTCAAGTGTATGATGAAGGTACTTACCAAACTGGAGGAGAACGCTCAAGAATAGCCTTGAAAACTCGAGTTTAGAGAGAGAAGGTCAGAGAGAAATGGGTTTGTTTTTGTTGAGAAGAATGAATATTTTAGGAGGAGAGATAAAGATTTTCCAGCCTTTGATAAGTTAATATGCTGGAGAAGAGTGTGAGAGGACAAATAGTTAACTAGATAGAGATGAATAGTGACTGGAGGTTATCATAGGGTGGTAGCTTGTGTCATTACTTTATGGGGAAGTCATGACTCTAACCCAATATCTTGCACAAAAGATGTTATTCTTAGATGAAGGTTTCCCCCCAAAATGTGATTAAAATATGAATATATGAGGTCTTATAATCCAAAATATAATTTTGGGTGAAAATCCCATGTTAAAATCATGAAAAACGAGCTTAAAACGCGAAACTACTCGAAAACCGGGATCAAGAGGCGAACCTGCGAGGGTTCGATAGAAGGAGGTTGAGAATCGAAAGTAGATTGATCCGAGCCAAAGGGAGGTTTGGTCCTCATAGGAGGATCGCAATCAAATGCGTAAGGAAGTGAAGGCGAAGCGAGCCTAACCAAATGGTGACAACCGAAGCTGCTGCAGGCGAAGCTAATCTCGGTCTGAATTGTTTTTTCAATTCGTAAGGAGGTTTCGGCTCTTAGAGGGTTCGGTTCGCTTAGGGAGAGAGAGATTGAGAGAGATTTTGTTTGTGACCTTTGAGAGTGTTTAGCTTCGAAATGCAAGGTTTGTAAACCCCATTAAGCCTCGTTATGAGTGTTATACGCCCCTGGAGGGTATGTAAAATGTTTTATCGAGTAGTTCCATTACTTATTGACTCTAAGTGATACTTTTGCATTAAGATAGTGTGTTGTACAATAGTAAACATAATGTAAACCCTAATATACAAGGGTTAATTGAGTTGACCGGTTTGACTTATTGACTTTATTTGACTTTTATTTGACCAGAAAGTGATGGTTGTCACATTATCCCCCCCCCCCCCGTTAAAAGGAATTTTGTCCCGAAATTAGGACTTTGATCAGGACTTCAAGAGTTGGGAAGAGGTGCTAGTATTTTTGTTTCGTCTAATCTTCGTGTTCCCAGGTGAACTCGGGTCCCCGCTTAGCGTTCCATCGGACTTTCACAATGGGAATGCGAATTTGTTTCGTTCTTTTAATCTCTCGGTCCATGATTTCTATTAGTTCTTCCACAAAGTGGAGACTCTCGTTGATTTCAATCTCGTCAAGAGGAATAACGAGAGTCTCATCGGACAAACACTTCTTCAAGATTGACACATGGAAGGTAGGATGTACATTTTTTTTGTTATTGCGGTAGTCGAAGCTTGTATGCTATCGGTCCAATCCTAGCGAGGATCTCGAATGGTCCGATATATCTCGGGTTCAGATTTCCCCGCTTATCGAAACGTATCAACCCCATCCAAGGTAAGACTTTTAACAGCACTCGATCTCCAACCTGGAACTCCAAAGGATTTCGTCCGTTATCCGTGTAGGTTTTCTGTCTGTCTCTGGAAGCCTTAAGTCGCTCTCGGATTTGGACAATCTTCTCTGTACTTTCTTTTATGATATCCGGGCCAGTGAGAGTGTTATTAGTTGGCTCAGGCACTAAAGGCTCTCACACCTAAACTTCAAGGATATAAACAAACTCGTGCTTGGTAATCACGTGTGAGGCTTTCCATTTCTAAAGTTTGAGAAAGAACATCTATGCGCAGCCTACAAGCTTGGGAAGAAAACCAGGAAGAGTCATTCAACAATTATAAACACCAAAGTGATCGATCCACTTGAGCTTTTACATATAGATCTTTGTGGTCCATATGCCATCGAGAGCATTGGTGTTAACAAGTATATTTTAGTTATTGTTGATGATTTTTCCAGATTTACGTGGGTTTATTTTCTTAAACAGAAATCTGAAGCCAATTCCAAGCTCAAGGACTTTATGAAGCAGATCGAGCTTTAACTGCGAAAGCTACTTCGAAACATTCAGAACGATAATGGTTCAGAGTTCAAAAACCACGAGTTTGAAGAATTCCTGACTGAAAAGAGAGTTTCTCACAACTTCTTGGCTCCTTACACTCCTCGGCAGAACGGGATTGTTGAAAGACGAAATTGCTCTCTGTGCGAACCTGTAAGGACCATGTTATCATTTGCAAACTTACCACTTTTCTTATGGGCAGAAGCTATCGGCACAGCCTGTTTTACTCATAATCAATCTCTCCTTAATAAAAGATCATCACCCCTTATGAAGTTATTCATAAAAGAAAACCTAACGTTAAGTTCTTTCATGTCTTCGGTTCAATGTGTTTCATTTTCAATTCAAAAGACCAAAGGAACAAGTTCGTTGTTAAAACAGACGGAGTAATCATATTAGGTACTCTCTGACTTCAAAAGCATATAGGATTCTCAACAAGAAATCAAAGGGGATTGAAGAAATGTACTAGGTTACGTTCGACGGTTCCTATCCAAAGAAGTATCGGACATCAGATCGTTAATCTGAGGAGATCGTTCCAGTAACGAATCTAATGACCATTCCTCTCTCAAATCTCTACAAGGAATTCATTCACCTCTTTGATGAGCCAGAAAAAGCGATTTCTTCAGAATCCAAAGCAACAGATAACAAGGAACATGATCTCAAGAAGATCATTGATGATGCTACGAAGGATCTTGAAAACGAGCCCCCAAGTCCAAAAGACTCTGATATTCCATCTCAACCACAAGCTATGAATGCTCCGCTTCATGGGGAGGGTTTCACTTCCACACCCACCTTAAGCACACCTCTTCAGTGGGAGCATTTAACCCCTCCATTAAACCACAAAAGTCCAATCCAAAGGGATAATCTTGTTCCAAACAAAGAGCCAGATCCGTCATTCGAGGGGGGAATGCAAATGCAAATCATGATTCGGATGCTAAGTCTGAATTTGAAGATGTGTATGTTGAACTAGATCCATCCTATGATCCAAAACACCCTCCACTGACCAAATGCCCAAAGATGATCCTAAAACACAAGTAATCAGAGAAGCATCTTCAGGAGTTCTTACGAGAGCACAACAAATGGTGAATCAGACTGCACTATTCTCCAAACTGGAATTTTACATGTTTAATTTGTTTAACTCCATGATTGAGCCTAAAAATGTTAAGATCTCTCTTGATCATTCAGATTGGGTGTAAGTAATGAAGGAGGAGCTCAATGAGTTTGAACGTACCAAGGTTTGTAGACTGATTCCCACTCCGAAGGATGCATTTGTTGTTGGTCTCAAATGGGTATTCCGTAATAAGATTGAAAAAGAGGGGAATGTGATCTGAATCAAGGCTCGATTAGTCGTAAAAGGGTATAGTGAATAGGAAGGCATAGACTATGAGGAAACTTTCGCACCAATAGCAAGGTTGGAGTCTGTTCGCATCTTTCTGGCATATGCAACTCACAAGAACTTTGAAGTCTATCAAATGGACGTCAAGTGTGCCTTTTTGAATGGAGAACTAGAATAAACAGTCTATGTGGAAAAACCACCTAGTTTCATAAATGAGAAATATCCAAACCACTGCTATATTCTAGATAAAGTTGTATATGGTCTGAAGCAAGCTCCGCGAGCATGGTATGAAACTCTCACTAGATTCTTAAAACAATCTAAGTTTAAACAAAGCTCGCTCGACCCAACCTTCTTTCGCAAGAAAGATAGTGACCATCTAATGATTGTCCAAATGTACGTTGTTGATACCATTTTTGGATCTACTAATTCTAGATTAACTGTTGAGTTTCAAAGTTGATGGAAACTAACTTTGAGATGAGCTCAATAGGTCCGATTAACTTTTTCCCTTGTTTGCATATAAGATAGAGTCAAGAGGGAGTATTTATCAACCAGGAGGCTTATACGAAGACCTTACATGCGAAGTTAGGAATGGTGGGAGATTCGAAGGTGAACGTTCCAATGGAATTCAGAACGAAGCTAACACCATCTTTGGACAAACCAGCAGCTATGACACTCTATCAACAAATGATAGGTTCATTGATGTATCTAACCGCTAGTCTTCTAGACATTATTTTTTATGTTTGCTATTGTGCCAGGTTTCAAACAAATCCTCGCGAACCCTACATAACTGCTATGAAGAATATCTTCAGATATCTTAAACGAACCTCCTCACTCTGAATTTGGTACCCATCCAACTAGGGTTCTTTGTGCAAGCATTCTCAGATGCTGATCTTGTAGGATACGATCTTGATTGGAAAAATACAACCGGAGGATATCAATTTCTTGATGGCAACTCATCAATTGGCAATCTAAAAGGCAAACATGTGTCTCCCTTTCGACTGCTGAAGCTGAGTATATAGCAGCCACCTCATGCACCTCGCAATTCATTTGTATCCAAAGCCAGCTAAGGGACTATGGCATAAATATGAAGCGAATCCCCTTGTACTGCGATTCTGAAAGTGCAATTTGTGTTTTCCACAACCCAGTGCAACACTCCGAGACTTAACATCACCCAGTGCAACACTCCAAGACTAAACATCATCCAACACTCGAAGACTAAACATCAGTTCAAGCTACTTCAAGACAAGCTGGATTCCTTGCTCGAATCATCCAAGTCTTCCTCCATCTCAGACTATTCTATTGAATCTCACAAAGCTTTACTTGAGATGTTGACGAAAGAGCATGCTGCGAACCTACCAAAAACAAACAAAGCTATCGAGGATTCAGAGAAAACTTGCAAGGATATGATCGAAAAGTCGAAAAACTACTCTCTGATGCTCAAAACTTCATGGGTGATTTCAAAACTTCTTTTGAATCCAACACCGCCGAGCAAATAAGGTTATCACCAGCCTTGGTTCTTCACCCCAATAAAAAAAAAGCTCTTAAGAAGATTCGTACTGAACTCCAGGCTAATAATTTGGAGTTTCAAACATCTATCTCCTCCAAAATCGAAAAACTTATGGAAGATCTGGCCACAGAGAACAAAATTATGGATTAACATGCTCTTAAAACTGAGAAAGCGAAGGTTCTATCAGTGAAATTACCGCATGCAAACTCATAGATTGATGCACTCAAGCCTGAGAATGTTGTGATCAAGAGTTGTGTTGCTGATGCAAATGCTCTCTTGCATAATCTCATTAAGACTTGTGATTCACTCCTCACAGTTTCTGTTCGTCAGCATCTTGCTGAGAAATTAAATCCTATCTACTACATGCTTGATTGAATTGAGGGTGTTTCAAAATCTTTTGCTATTCCAAAACAAGGGGAGAAGCAAAGAAGGTTTCTACTGAAGAAATTAAGAAACCAGCTTGTGGCTCTGATGAGCACGAACAAAAACCACCCAAGTCAAAAGACCAGAAGGATAATGTAGCTTCAGCATCATAAGGAAAAGGAATATGGATTGATGATGATGATGAGGAAGAAGAAGAAGAAGAAAATGAAAATGAAAAAGTTAAGATGCAAGGCTCGTCACGCAGAGATTAACGAAAATATGTGAATCATCCAGGAAGCCGAAGAAAAAGCAAGGAAATCCTATGAAGCCCAAGTCACTCTGGAAACTCAAAAGATTCTTTTTGTTGCCTGGTCTATGGAACGTATTTTGAATGAATCCATCGATAATCCAAGTGTTTATTGGCTGGAGCCAGTTACTTTGTTTGAATTAGAAAACACTTTGGATTCGCAGCTTGATTTTCCTATAACTCTGAAGGCATTCTTGTTTCGTAGTTTTGGAAGAGTTGAGAATGCGCTTGAGTCTACTAACAATGTCAATCTGATGCTTATCTCCTTTTATCTGAAGCATGACAAGCCACAATACCAAACCTTGAGTTCAAAGAAGATTACAGCAGTGATGGTTATTGGACAATTGAAACCAAAAGCTTCCTTAATGCTCGATTTAAAATTGCTCGAGGTACTACGAGTTCGATGTTTGAATTTTCAATTGCAGACCTGATGTGACATAATCCTTATTACTATATTTCTCTATTTCATCTCTTTCTTAAGTATGAACATAAATAGGAACCTATTGTGGCGTATCTCAAGAGGATGTTGGTCTCGTACATCCACGAAGTCGGCAAAATGGATGTAGAGATTGCAGTAGTGCTCCGAAAGAAAGCCATTATCAAACCCAAAGAAGCTTTGTGTGATGTTTACAAAGTGAAGCTCGGAAAGATTCATAAAGACAATTGGAATTTGGTTTTTCAACAGAGTGCTAGAGATGGTTCAAATTCTCAAAGATGTTTCTTCTCTCTTTCGGATAAGCATCTTTACTCCACTTCCTACTTGAACTACGTTTTGGAGTTAATCGAGAAATCAAAAGCAACCGATACTACAAGTAAGAAATGATTTGAAGATATGATCAGATGGTACATTACAGTTCACAACACTCTCTTCAGTCTCGTGCCAAATCTCTTTAAGTTCCAAAACCGGCAACAGAACTGAAGAATCTGCCTTCTTTATTGACACAAAGGGGGAGATTGTTGGGTTATTTAGTGTTGTGTCAATTATGTTTGTACTATAATAGTCCACTTTGTAATGGGTTGAAACTATCCATGGTCGTTATTATTAGTAGGGTTAGACTATATATAGTGCATGCATGCACCGTTTTAGGGTATCAATTTTTTTTGCCCTACTTGCCTTTACAATAGAAGTTCTTCATCGAGCTCTTCTAAGGCAATTATTATTAATCATTCGACACCAGCTTGATCATAACATTCATTGTTTGATTTAATTTTTTTTTTAAGAATCTTTCAATCAACTCTTATTTATTTTAACAAGGTGTGGAAGGTAGTAGGAGCCCGTACTACAAAAAGCATAGGATCCGTATGTGAGTACAAGGGAATCTTGTGGATACTAAGGAACTAATATGGGGACACATGGTGTATTGAGCACTATGCTTTGATGTTTGAAATTTTTTTTTGTATATTTTAGTGTGGAGGCTATCAAAGGATTAGGATCATGCGCTGGTTGCACCGAGATGAAGGGAATGAGTGATGAAGAGATCTACATGATAATTTCTGCCGAAGAGGTCGTGGCGATCAGGGAGGCTATTCTAGAATTTTTGGGTTGGTTAAGAACATGTTGAGTGAGGAGTTTGATAGGACTTATGTCGTTTTCGTGTAGGTTGTCGTTTCCGTAGCTACTACAATCATCGTTGTTGTAGTACTTCATAGAGGCGGGGCGATGAAGTACTGGGAATTTAGTAATACGAAGCTGCAAGAGAGAGTACAAGGACCCAATTACTGCTTTGAGGTGGATATATAATATGGAGGGATGTTGCTACATGTGTTTGTTTCTTGAGGACCAGAAGGTGAAATTCGCATTGAATCTTCTTCGCTGGAAAGCGAAGGATTAGTGAGAGTTTGTGACCTAGAGCCTTTCGCATGTGGAGCGATCCATAATGAATTGGGAGCAGTTTCTAGAGATGTTTTATGCAGAGTATGTTCCACTTATGGAGAGACAGCAACTGACATAGGATTAGCTGTCACTCAAGAAGATGACTAAGTCGGTGATAGAGATCACTAATATGTTTACAGAGATAGCCATCTTTTTCCCAGAGTATGCCACTTCAGAGCAGGTGCAGATGTCACGATACTTAAGTATGATCAAGACGGAGATTCAAGAGTTTCTATTGAATCAGGCGTATCGGACCTTAACCGAGTTACAATGAAGCGCCAAGAGAACAAAGATTGAGTTGGAGATATAGAGGAAGGATTGGAGGACAAATTTAGTGTAATTTCAGTCGGTGGCCAAGCGGTTCAAGTCCATCGACTCCAGATCAGGACCAATAGATCAAGGGGATTTCAGGCGTGTTAGGTGCGGGAAGTTTCAGGATAAGAGGTGTCGATCTTTTACATGTCGCAGGTGTGGAAAGGAGCGGCATTTATAAATCGATTTCATGTAGATCAAGTGAATTTGTTTCCATTATGATAAGGAGGGACACATTAGAGCTCATTACCCCCTTTTGCTTTCAGTGAAGTGCAGGATTCCACACCTATATCATGGTAGATGCCAGATAGACATCAGGGGACGGCTGAGGTGCCTAGGGAAGAAGAAAGTGCCTAGAAGCTTATTGTAAAGGATCTAGGGGTAGCAACCATGTCCGCTTCAAGTATGTTTTCCATTTTTTTATTCACGTCTTGCATTTATGTATTGGGTTTTTCTTTTGGAAAATTTTCTTCCAAGTGGAAGTTTTCATGTGCATGCCTTTGTGTTGGTAATATTTCAAGATTCTGATGGGTTTTGAGCATTCTAACACTTCCTAAGTGTACATGCAACCCTAATAACCTTGGATCTATGTTTGTCTAATTGTCATGCAAAGTTGAATTCCAAGGTTATATTCCTATCTAGCATACATGGGGAACAATTTTAACATAAAGTATAGATAGAATAACTTACCTTGTTGTTGTTTGTGTTCCTTGAAACCTTGTGAGCCTAGCACCCCAAGTGTAATGCCTCAAATGCTTCACACAACATCAAATGCTCTTGGAAGAACTTATGAGAGAACACACACTTCTTCAAAATCGGCCAAGCCCTCTTATTTCTTAGTGTAATCAATTTTGGGTGGAGAACATGTTTCTTATATAGTGTTGACACATCTAGGGTTAAACCCTAATGTGTCATGACTTTTCATTTCCATGACCCATGGGTTTGTAACTCCCATGGAGCATCCATGGAGCATCCTATGGGTGGAACCCAACTTGATAGTCCATGGAGCCTATTAGCCCACTATACAAGATATGGATGATTTGCATAATCAACCCATATATTTAATTAGTTATCTTTTGATCACTTAATTAATTCTAAATTAATTCTTGATCAAACTAATCAAATAATATTATTAATATATTAGAACTTATAATATATTAATAATCTCCAAGTGTTATTTCTCTCATTTAGTCTATCCAATTGCATGGTGCCATGCAACCCAAATGGACCATGCCGGGTCGGGTCAAGTACATACAGAAATAGTTATGGACTTAGACACCTTATCCAACAGTCTCCCACTTGGATAAGTCTAATAACTATTACTGCAAGTATGACTTCAGGAACCGATCCGCAATCGTAGCTCTTTAAAAGGTTTCTCGAAACTGAGAAGATGATGGTACGCCATTTAAGATAAGTGATCATATAATCCTCTGTTCTAGATATCAGTCGGACAAATACATGGAACAATGTCTTACTTATTGTCCAACAATTTGTTTCCCGATTTCCGATTTGTTTGACAAAGAACTTCATTGAACACATCAATTTAGTTCTGACCGGGCCCGGTACATAGGTCAAAACAAAATCATCGAGGGGCCCAGATATCAGCTTCTAATCCAAGAAGGAACAGATAAACTTCGACTCATATGTTTGTTCTACTACTCATTGAATTACACACAAGAGCGCGATTTTATAACATCGAGTTACCAATGCGTTTTTCGTACAATCAATGCATAACCAACTTGTAAGTAACAAATCATATCTCTAGGTTTAAAGATTATATGATATTACCGTCTCACGATCACTCGAGATAGAATTCCATGAAGTGATTCCAGTGAGCGTGGGTTGAGTCCAATGCTCAGAACTTATGAGCACTCATGATTGTTGTAGCCTTGTCCCAGACCTCTACAACCAAACATGACAGTCTTGATTCATACCTACTTCCGACATATGACCGACTGTGGAGGTTTGAATAATATGTTATACCAAACAAAATTATTCTGGAAGTCAAAACATGCAAAAGAAATATAGTAAACGATCGACAAGAGATAGCAACACTTTACTCATAAATAAAACACTTTTATTCATCATCAAATGTCAATTACACTTTACAAATTTCGAGGTTATCTAACTACTAAATCTAATATCATCCTTCAGCCCTATGCTCCGAGCATGCTGGAGATGCTTAACCCGAGTCAGTCCCTTCGTGAGGGGATCTGCCGGATTCTCATCTGATGATACCCTCTTTGCCACGAGGAGTCCTTCTTCGATCCGATGTCTGATGAAATGGTATTTTCTGTCGATGTGTCTGGATCTCCCGTGATCCCTTGGTTCCTTGGCTAAGGCAACAGCACTTTCACTATCACAGAAAATTTCCATTGGCTCTTTAATAGCTGGTACAACTCCAAGGTCTCCAATGAAGTTCCTCAGCCATAACGCCTCCTTTTCCGCTTCGCTAGCTGCAATATACTCTGATTCACAAGTAGAATCTGCCACTGTCTCTTGCTTGGAACTCTTCCAAGAAATTGCTCCTCCATTTAGGGTAAAGACCCAGCCCGACTGAGAGCGGAAGTTATCCCTATCAGTCTGGAAGCTAGCATCACTATACCCTACAACTCTCAAGTCATCACTCCCACCGAGGGTAAGGACCCAGTCCTTAGTCCTTCGTAGGTACTTGAGAATATTCTTTACCGCAGTCCAGTGTGCCTTGCCAGGGTTCCCCTGAAACCTGCTAACCATGCTCAAGGCAAAGGCTACATCAGGTCGAGTACACGTCATAGCATACATGATCGAACCTACAGCCGAAGCATAAGGTACTCGACTCATTTCTGCTATCTCAGCCTCAGTGCTAGGGCTTTGTGTCTTACTCAGTTTGGCGTTACTCTGGATGGGTAACTCTCCTTTCTTGGAGTCTTGCATTCTGAATCTCTTCAGAACCTTCTCCAAGTAGGTACTTTGACTAAGTCCAATTAGTCTTTTACTCCGATCTCTCAAGATCCTTATCCCCAAAATATAGGCAGCTTCACCAAGGTCCTTCATAGCGAAACACTTTCCAAGCCAGGACTTTACTTCCTGCAGGGTTGGAATGTCGTTTCCTATGAGTAGTATGTCATCCACATACAATACCAAAAGCTAACTATACTCCCACTAGCCTTGACATATACACAAGATTCATCTTCACTCCTAGAAAAGCCAAATTCCTTGACCTTTTCATCAAAGCAAAGATTCCATCTGCGAGGTGCTTGCTTTAATCCATAAATGGATTTCTCAAGCTTACACACTCTATTAGGGTACTCGTTGCTGACAAAACCCTCTGGCTGACTCATGTAAACATCTTCAGCCAACTTCCATTAAGGAAAGCGGTTTTGACATCCATTTGCCAAATTTCATAGTCATGAAATGCGGCTATGGCTAACAGAACCCGAATAGACTTAATCTTGGCTACCGGAGAAAAGGTCTCATCATAATCCACTCCAGGAATTTGAGAGAAGCCCTTTGCAACCAGTCTAGCCTTATAAGTGTGTACTTTACCATCCATGTCGGTCTTCTTCTTGAAGACCCATTTGCACCCTACAGTCTTTCGACCTGGTACATTCTCAACCAAGTTCCAAACTTGATTGTCATACATGGATTGTATCTCG